TGAAGCCTGTTTTAGATTCTGTCTGTCGCTCTCTCCCCTTCCCCTGCTTGCATCCTGTCTCTTTCTCTCTACCCAAAATAAATAAACATTAAAATAAATAAATACATACATACATATATACATATATACATACATACATACATACATACATACACTTCAGTAAGGTCCACATTAAGTAATTGTTTAGGCAATTTAAAACATCATTGTGTCAGTATATATTTATATAAACTTTCAGCAGAAAATTCAGCAGCATCTACCCAATTATAAATTGAATATAGCTTTTACACAATTCTAATTTTAGAAATGTCTCTAGAAATATCTGAACCAGTGTATAGATGCTCATGAGCCATTATCTGGAATTGAAAAAAAAAAATCATCTATATACACATGAGTAATGGATTGACTAAGTATACTATTGTCGATTCAAGAAATGAAATACTGTACATATTAAAAATGATATATATGAATATGGAAACATTCACAAAATATTATCAAGTATAAAAAGATACACAGTACTATATGCTCATACAGTATATGTTTACCTATGCAAACAATTTGCAGGAAGATATCCACCAAAACACTGAGGGTGGTTATGGGACAAGGGTCAAATTATAGAGAACTTTTGTTTTCTATTTGTTATACTTTTGTATTAATTCAGTGTTTTACAATGATAAACTGTAATTAGAAAGTTAAAATAGTTTTCTCTACTAGAAAATCATGGGAAAAAAAGAATATGTCATTCAAAGGAAAAAGGTTTATTATTCAATTCCCTAAAATGATCTCAGAAGACAAAAAATTTCCCAGCAAGTCATGGGGTGGTTCATAAATCCTAAATTGGTTGGTAAAATAAAAGCCTAAATATTAGGTATGTAAAGTGGGAGCAGAAAGACACCATAGTAAATATCCAAAGTGACTATAAAATTTAAGGTTTACAGTCTTAAGTTTCAGAGAAAATTTACATAAGCCATTTAAATATATAACTGATTTTTGGAGTACCACCTTACAGTTTAGCAGTCATACTAGATCATGGCAGTTCCTGGCAGAATAGAAGTGGATCCTGAATTCTGAAATCTATCATAGACCCTCTAAATGGAAGCTATTCAACTTGTTGCTAATGGCAAGATCAAGACAGAATGCATTTGGTTATAAAATTCCCTTTGGAAAATGAACAGAAGTCAGGTTAGTGTCCTTTTATTCTTGCTTAAATATCTGAATAATTATAACCTAGATCAAAACAATTACATTATGCAACTACTTCAAAACCTTTATATTTTCTTTCATTGTAGATATCAAAGTCTGGATTTTGAGTAGGTGAGTGCTTATGTTTATCTAGAATAAATATGTCAATTGAAAACAGTCAAGCTTATCTCCTCATGAGGTACAAGAAATTTCAATTTCCTCACTTTTGAAGATTGAGCCAGATGGTAATCAAGGACTCAAAAAATCTTGGAGCTAAAATGTCCTTGAGAAACCATCTATTTCATATTTTAATTATATTGTTGTCTGTGCTAAAGTAATCCAATGATACTCTCAACTTCTTAGAGTTAAAATGATTTTAGGAGAAATGAATTCGTTTACATAGAAGGTAGAATTCATGTTCTGAAGGTAATAGCCTTACAAAGACTCCCCATCTGATAATTATTGTATTAAAAACTTTTAAAAGTTAACTATTTATAATACAACATTCTTAGTAACTAATTTCAAATTTTAACCTATCAAAATACTTGTATTTTTAGAATTAGGAATTGTGATATTTATCTGGGTCGAAGGTGAGTTGTATTTGATAATCTGTGTAGGTAGTGATTAAAGTCAGGACAAACAAATTGAGATAGATGGACAACAGTAACTGGGTCAGTCACGGATAGATGCTTTTTAAGCAGGAGCCAGTGTCTGATAAGAGGGACAATTCAAGTCCATATGCCAATTCCCAGGAGGTCAGAGAGCAGCAAGCCAGACACACTCTGGTTCTGATGTCAGAGTTTCAGATAGAGGCAATCTGATGCTTGAGACAAATTAACTTGTAGTGAAACTCTCTGATGGCATCTGTGCTGGTCAACTATAAAACCCCTGCCTTCTTCTTGCCCTGTCCCATATTATAGGAAACCCTTTCCCTTGGCTTTGGAGTAGATTTGGTGAATGGCAGACATTGTTGGAAGACTTGGTGCCCAAAGAAAGACAAAAGCTAGGGTACCTCTCCCCACCAAACTTGTATCCTCCATGGCTTCAGATCCCCCTGCAGAGGCTTGTTATTGTTCTAGCTTTCACCTGGTGTTCTAGGCTCTTGGCCTAGGATAACAGAGGCTCCTCCTTTGTTACCTTTAGTCTGGGGATTGTAGCCTGAGATGTACTAGTCTATTTTGCTCTTACTTTGAAGTAGCCTTAATTTTGTGGGGCCAGGTTTACTACAGGTTAAGGAAAAAGAGGGATGGGATTGCTTCATGTTTTCAGAAAATTCTGTCTTGGGGGTGCCTGGCTGGCTCAGTTGGTAGAGCATACAACTCTCGATCTCCAGGTTCTAAGTTCGAGCCCCACGTTGGGTATAAAGAATAAAAAATAAAATGTTAAAAAAAAAAAGAAAAAAATTATCTCTCTTGGGATAAGGAACTTTAGGTGGAATCTTGCTATTCAGACATAATAATTAACATTTGTAAAGAAGAAGTGTACAACTTACAGGTACATCTATGTATATTATCTTCAACTTACTGTGGGCTAATAAATCTTGTGTACAAAGTGCTAAAGTGAAACTGATGTATAAAACTTATCATCATACTCACACACCGGCTATGAAGCATCTATGGGTGCTTGTTGAGAAAAAAAAAATAGCCATTTTTCTCTATTTCTCAAATCAGGCTGATTGCTTGTGGAGTATTTCTTTTGTATCTGAATACAGGTGATAACTTGAAAGTTTGTGGAGACAGAAGTGGTAGCAACTGGTAACCTCCTCATATTCCAGACTCTGGGTTAATGAGAATCCAGAGCATATACATTGGGCAAGTTTGCACAATAGTAGGGCTCAATTACAGTGTATCTCTACTATACTGTTAGAAAATTTCTCTCACGGAAACCAATATTGGAGGCAGGAGACTTCAACATTGGAAGTTAAGCATATATTTTCACCAAATAACATCTTAATTTATATCTATGATGGCAATAATCATGCGCTATACTATAGCCCCCAAATAGGAATACATAAAAAAGAATTTAGACTACATGACTTTGTTTTAGTTTTATAGATCTAAGATGTTCTTTTAAAATCAGTATTTGTAGACCTAGGCAAAGACAGTATTCTTTATGTGATTACAGTTTTTGAATTTTGACAGAATTATCATCTTTCTAAAATGTCTTATATATTCTTTCTATGGTCATACCATTCCATTTATTTTCCAGAATTTCTCTATTAAATAAGCCATTATATCAAGACACTCTAATCTTTATTTAAATTATCAAGAAGGCAGGAGGTAAATCCAGATCCTTATTTTTTTCATGTCTAATTAGGATTATACTACTGTTCATTACTTTAGATTAGATCTCATGTTTCCTTCAAATTGTTTCATTTTATTTCTTTTATAGTCTTTTCATTTAGGGTTTCCTTGCCATCAAACCACTTACAGCTTTCTGTACAACCTCTTTGCCTTCATTGGCTGGATTCCGCAAAGTTCTATTTTCTGCCAATTTTGCACATTTAGCATATCCTCTCTATTTTCTGTACCACATCTCACTATTTGGCAAAGCCAGTACAGTTTTCTTTTATTGATTCCTCACCATCTACCACCTTGCCTGCAGTATTGGCTCACTAAGATCAAGCAGTTGAAATCTGCTGTTAAGAGTATCAGCTTCCCCTCACTGATAAGAATTCCCAAAAGAGCTAAAAGCTACCATTGAACTAAAACTATTTCTCTGCTTTGCCTTAAGAAAATGAGTGATCCATGGGGCTCCTAGGTGGTTCAGGTGGTTGAGTGTCTGACTTGGGCTAAGGTCATGATCTTGCCAACTGTGTTCGGGGCGGGGTGGTGGTGGGAGCCACATAAGGTTCTCTATCAGCCCAGAACCTGCTTTGGATCCTATGTCCCCATCTCTGTCCCTCTGCCCCTCCTCCATTCACACTTTCTCTCTCAAAAATAAACATTAAAAGAAGAAGAAGAAGAAGAAGAAGAAGAAGAAGAAGAAGAAGAAGAAGAAGAGGAGGAGGAGGAGGAGGGAAATGAGTGATCCTTTTACTACCCTAGTTGTATTTTCTTTCTTCTGTTTTTAAAGTGGTTAGTCCCACTGACACATCAGTGTGTCTGTCTGGCTTCAACCAAGTGTTTTATCTTACCTGCTTCAGCAATATCCCTTCCTTTGCAAAAACATCTAACTCATCTAGAACTGATTTTTCCATTCACAAGAAAACTTTCTTACTAAATCAAACCATCTCTTCAGGGCTCCTTCTCTGAAGCTTGAAATTAGAATTTGCTATACCTGAATTCCTGTGCTTTAAATTGTGATTACGTTACATCATTTAGAACTTTAGTCAAGAAAACACTCTTCCTCAGCTTCAATTCTTGCATCATGCAGCAAATAAAGATGTGCTACATCAAATAAGGATTTTGCACCGCCCCCAAAGTTGAACATTCATGAACAAAAATGATATATAAACATTGATTGTTTTTTTCAAATGAATTTGAAATTAACAAATTTTTGTAAGTTAATTTTTTGAATAGTAGTTTCTCTTATTAGGACAACTAGTTTTTTTCATTTTAAAGAGTCACCATACCACTTCCCTTTAACAAATATATCTACTTTTTTATTTATTTGCGATAGATCTTACTGTAGTGTACACATGGCGATTAGTAAAGCATTTTCCTCAAATTGAAATACATGGATTTCAGAGAGTACTACCTTTATTCATTCAGATTACTGTTTTATATAAACATGCCACAAGACCGATCTATAAACAATAAATATTAAAGTCTCAGATTAACTATCATATGTGATTTACCGTGTTTTCTTGATGTTCTTAGAATTTTACGGTCCTTCCTGGTGTCTGACCCCAGCAGACAGAGGATTGTGTCAAGCCAATGTGAGCCGATTCTACTATAATTCAGTTATTGGGAAATGCCGCCCATTTAAATACAGTGGATGTGGAGGGAATGAAAATAATTTTACTTCTAAAAATGCATGTCTTAGGACTTGTAAAAAAGGTACAGAAAACATTCTTCCCCTTCAGTAGTACTTAGGATAACAATTTTCATGAAATTGTGAACAAATTTTAATCTAAGAAAATATTATGAAGTTAGTTCTATTTATAATAAAAAATTATTATAATTAAGCTAATATATGTCCCCCTTTTAATTATTACATCTAGATGATAGTTCTGGAGATGTCAACTACAATTTCTCTTAATGTGTCTTCACAAAAAATATTCAGTTTTAAACAAAACATTTTATTCTTTTAATATTTATATACTAAGCTTTCATTTAAAATGATTATACCAAAATATTTGTAAGCTATCTTATAATGCACATTTTAATGTGGTTACTAATTTTCTTCTGAATATAAAAATGATGCATGTTTACTGAATATCAATATATAAATAAAAATCACATATAATTCCACCAACCATATACAGCCACATGTTCACTTTAATAAAACAAGCATGAATTTCTAACTGAAGATGAATAAAAATCAATAACATTCTTATCCATTTTTGCTAATTCTTATATATGCAAAATGACTTCCTTAGAATTAGGTTGTTCTACACAAAGACAGACAAATTAGAGGCTTTTAAGCCAGTTTTTGTTTTAAATATTAAAGGATAATTTGAGAAAATTTTAGATAAAATGTTTTATTATATTACTTTAATATGCATAATAAATTTGTTTCTCTTCCTTTTGTAGGCTTCATCCAAAGAACATCAAAAGGAGGATTAATTAAAACTAAAAGAAAAAGAAAGAAGCAGACAGTGAAAATAGGATACGAAAAAATTTTTGTTAAAAAAATATAAATTTGGGGGCACCTGAGTGGCTCAGTCTGTTAAGCGTCTGATTCTTGCTCTTGGCTAGGTCATGATTTCATGGTTGGGGAGATTGAGCCCCACCTTGGGCTCTGTGGGTCAGGTTCTGTGCTGACAGCATGGAGCCTGCTTGGGATTTTCTCTGCCCTCCCCCACTCACATACTCTCTTTTTCTCTAAATAAATAAATAAACAAAATAAATAAATAAATAAATAAATCTTACATTGTTACATTAGTTCTAAATATTTTGGATGAAACTTTTCACTATAATTTTTATTTTTTTTCCTGAAATCCTTTTAATGAATATTTCCATCAATTTTCTATGTACAAGTTAACTGCTATTAATACATTTTTATCAGAATTCATTTCTTAATCTAGTCAAATTGCTTACTCAAGGACAATGATTTATTAACTGACTACTGTGAATTTACCTATTCTCTCAATTCCTTTATATTTTTCATTAACTACAAGCTATCATTTACTGGCCACATCAAGACAGTCCATTTTTCCATTTGGTGATTCTCTGTTTGATAATATGTTTTCATTTATTTGTTTTGATCATGTGTATGATTATCTTTATAGTCTATGCCCAAATTGATAAATGCAGATATTAAGGATCAAGCACTTTTTGGATTTCACATCAAACATGGTGACAAGCATTTGCTTCTATAAGGATCGCTCAACTGTGCGAAAGCTGGTAATAATACAATTCTATTATGTGCTTCCCTCCATAGACATAATTTTTCTTTCTTATAAACCAGTACCTCAATCAATCTTGAGCCATACCATTATCTGAACAAAGAGAGTCAACTCTATCATGTGCCTGCCTGATTTTGATTGATCTATTTTGTGTATGTATGTGTGCTTATGACTAACTATATTAGTAAAAATGGTTGAATAGTGTTATGTTAAGTACAGATCATGGTAAGAAGAAACTTGGTGGAAAGGAAAGTTTTTAATGGCAATCAAAAGTGAATTGTGTTTATATACTTCCTAATTTTATTGTTTAACAAAATTTTCTCTTACCCCAAATAGCAAGAATACTGAATCCTACTGAAACTTATTCATTTATCATTAAGCTTTGCATGCAATGCAACCAATAAGTAAGTCATGGGGGAAGTAAGCTTCAGGGGGAAGAAAAAGTCATGTTATTTATGTAGAAAAGGAAGGTCTACTACTGAAAAGTCTATCAGCAAGGAAGATTCCACTAGAAAAATCTATGTACTATTCACTCTCAGGGTTTTAAATAATCTCTCCGTGGAGTTAGTTCACTTTATCCAGATCCTTTTCTGCTGATCTATGTGCAGTCTGGCATCTCAACAGACTCCTAGACATTTCAGTTCCTATAATATTCACGTCAAACTTTGCATTTAAATTTGAACTTGTCATCTAGAAACAACTAATCACTTCATCCGCTAAGTTTAGCTTTATGATTTCTCTCTAGCAATAGTATTATAATTCTCTGTTCCTAGGACTTGGAAGTTTGACCCCAGTTTTGACTTCTTTTTTCTCATGTACATATCTGATCAGTCTCTAAACACTAGTGCTTCCTTTTTCATAAAGTTCATCCAACTTCAGGGTTTTTGCCCCTACTGCATTCTTCACATCAGTATTGATTTAATTCCTAAGAATTAATTCCTTAGAGCATATTTCTCCACCACTCAAAATCCATCAAGGACTCACTAGTTGGTACTTAACCCCACCCCATCCCCCACAATTTTATTTTGTTCTATATATATTACACTACTGCCCTCTTTCATGACTATTTCAATTTAATTAAGGGTATATACTGTTCACTAAATACTCTTTATTTAGTCAGCTTATTCATGCTGATTTCCTACTTAAAAATATTATCTTTTCCAGACTATCCATGTGAAGTCAGGGTTCAGCTGATGTGAGCTATAAAATTACTGTTTTGTGGCTGAATATGAAGTCCTAAGATACAATTACAAATTACTTTCATCCTAAAGCATAAAAATTATATCATTATAAAATAGTGTCAATTTTTTTCACTTAAAAATTTTATATCTTGATTTCAAATATAATATATACATAAGTAACTGCCTTAGACTGGATCTTTGCTGTGGAATTTGAGACTTGGAAATCAAAATCCCTGTGAAATATGCTTTGTATCATTATACATGGAGAGTAATACCTTTAAATAAACAATATGGTCTCCTAAGTTAACCTATCTGCCACCAAGGACATAGAAGTAGTACATTAGTGAGTTGACGGTTTTCTCCAACAATCATTCACGGGTTCATTACTTAACCAAGAAATACTCACACTCAGATGATTTCTAATTTTTAATGCATGAGAATATTATTTTACTGTGTTTTAAATAAGAAGCTCTCTGGTTGTATTGTCTTACTTTGTGTTACATAATTAAATACATCTAACTGTGAATTTTATATAGAATTACTTTATACAGCATTTATATGTATTTACCTACTTAGTTTTCTCTCTGTTCAAAATTAATGAATCATGCTGAAAACTGCCCAAATGATTTTAGTGTTTACATTATAATAAATAAAATATTCTAAATAATGAAGCATAGCTGTTATGTTCATGAAGGTTTTTTTTCTTTCTTGTTTTAAAATTTTTTTAATGTGTATTTATTTTGGGGGAGAGACAGAGACGGAACACAAGTGGGAGAGGGGCAGAGAGAGGGAAACAATTTTGAAGCAGGCTCCAGGCTCTGAGCTGTCAGCACAGGGCCCAACATGGGATCATGACCTGAGATGAAGTCGGACTGTTAACCAACTGAGCCACCCAGACACCCCTCATGAAGGTTTTATTTTATTTTTTATTATTTTTTATTTATATTTGACAGAGAGAGCATGAATGGGGTGGGGGGGGAGGGGAGGCAGAGACAAAGGGGGTCAGAGGATGTGAACTGAGCTCTGCACTACCAGCAGCAAGCCCAGTGCAGGGCTAGAACCTACCAGCTGTGAAATCATCTTGAGCTCAAGTTGGACACTCAACCGGCTGAGCCACCCAGGTATCCCATGAAGTTTTTTTTTTTTTAATGTTTATTTTGAGAGAGAGAGAGAGAGAGAGAGCGAGCATGCAAGCATGAGATGCATGTGAGCAGAGAAGGGGCAGAGAGGGTGAGAAAGAATCTCAAATAGGCTCTTTGCTATCAGTGTAGAGCCCAACCCCAGCTTGAACCCATGACTGTTGCATCATGGACTGAGCCGAAATCAAGAATTGGATGCTCAGCCAACTGAGCCACCCAGGTGTCCCATCATGAAGTTTCTTATACCTCAGAAAAAATTTAGTGTTCTTCAGTTATTACACAGATTAAGTCCTAAGACAAAGGAAAAAATTGTTCCATAAACTCCAGTTGACTTTCACCTTCTTTAATTAGAATTTGCTAATAATCTCCTTTCAATTACAAATGTGTATTCATGTACTAGGACTTCTTATTTGTCGAACACACTAGTACACGTGCCTTAAAATCCATACTCCAACCCATATTTCTACCAATCACCTCATATAATTCTATAAATTATATATATATGTGTGTGTGTGTGTGTGTGTGTGTGTGTGTATTTAAATATATTTCATGTAACTATGTATTATATATGACTTCCAATCTTGACTATTGAAAATGTCCTGGCCCATTTCCATACCAGAAGAAAATGACATTAAAGTAACTATTTAGGAGAAATCTAGGGTTCTTTCATAAGCTGCTCCTGCTCTTATCTCATTTTTTTGAAGTTAGCATTTGAATTTAGTCTCCAACCTTTGACTTTCAGTTCTTTCTTAAGAAATTTAGCATGAACACACCTGAATTGCTTTTCCTGTATTCTGCTCTATAGAACATGAGACCTTCATCTTAGTCTCTCAGGACCAATCTCTGAACTATAGCTGGTGTCTTGGCTAGAATTATTCAGACCACTTTTTTAAGGGAGTAGTGATACATGGTAATTCATTTTACCAGAGAGACAGACAGAGAGAGAGAGAGAGAGAGAGAGAGAGAGAGATGTGTGTAAGCATTTACTCATATAATACAATAAAAAAAAGCATTATGACAGTGAGTAGGACTTCCTCATCCAAAACTTCTGACTAAAATTCTTCATCTAAAAAAATTCTGGCCCCAGCAGTCTGAAATGAAACAAGGATATATTTGATCACAAAATTGGAAAGGCTAGGGGTGTCTAGGTGGCTCAATCTGTTAAGCTTCCAATTTTGGCTCAGGTCATGATATCTTAGCTTGTGAGTTTGAGTCCCACATCGGGCTCTGTGCTGACAGCTTAGAGCCTGGAAGCCTGTTTCAGATTCTGTGTCTCCCTCTCTCTCTGCCCCTCCCCCACTCTCTCATGCACATTCTCTCTCTCTCTCTGTAAAAATAAAACAAACATTAAAAAAAAAAATGGAAAGGCCAAAGGTATTTTACCTAAGTATAGATGGACTCAGGGCTTTATACTGTCAATAAAACTCAGTCCATCTTTATTCCTGATTCTGCTGCCCAACATTTATTACCTTTTTTAATATCACAGGGTTTCAAGATGACTTCCAGAATTTAAGGCCCACATCCTCTCCAATAAAGTTTTCTAGAAACATTTAGACTTGTTCCCTGGCCTCAGGCACGATCCATGAAAGAAATAATTGATAGGCTGGATTTCATTAAAATTAAAAATTTATGCCGTACAAAATCTAGTATCAAGAAAATAGAAGACATTGAACGGGGAGACAATATTTCAAAAGACACATCTGATAAGGGACTGTTATATAAAATATTCAAAGAACTTTTAAAACTAAAAAAATAATAACCTTATTAAAAAATGGTTCAAAGATCTTAACAGATACCTCACCAAAGAAGATCTACAGATGACACAAGCATATTAAAAGATGCTCTATACCATCAGTAAACTACAAATTACAACAGTGAGCTACTACTATACGTCTATTAGAATGGCCAAAATCAGGGGCACCTGGGTGGCTCAGTCGGTTGGGCGTCTGACTTCACCTCAGGTCATGATCTCGCAGTTGGGAGTTCGAGCCCCAC